CACCCTGCTCTCTAAGTCCATCACCCTGCTCCCTGCAGCTGTGTCACCCTGCTCTCTAAGTCCATCACCCTGCTCCCTGTAGCCGTCACTCTGCAGTGATAGACTGAACTTCATTTAAACAAACTGGGAGAGCTCTGTGATTTATTGTGTCCCTGATAGCCAGAGACTAATGCCTCAAATGTTTTAAAGAGATAAGGGCAAAGGCTGATAAGAAGCAGATCCTGCAGAGGTGGGGTAATGTTTTTTATCATGCCAATTCCCTCCCTTCCAACGACTCCCGACTGGCACAACAAAGCATTTGCATTTGGGAGAAATGGAGCCAAACCGTGGTCATGGCATTAGAAGGGGACATAAACGGTCACAGCACCCAGTGCTGCATCAGACAGTGTAAAACCCCTCCCCCCCAAAAATATTGGGGCATTGGCACGTGAACCCCTACCTCCCTGTCACACACTGCTCCCTACACCCCACCACAGGGGCATTACCCCACTGGCAGCTGCAGGCTGATGGCAGTGGGAGGGCAGGAGGCTGCTGCTGCCACCCCCAAAATTCATCTGACCCTGACCCAGCCCAACCCAGCCCCACACACTGGGAGCTTCTGAACCCTGAACTGAAACCCAAGAGCTGCTCCAGGACAGCACAGCCACCCAGGAAAAGACTGCAATATGTGGTGGCTGTAGGAACCCCTTCCCTGCCTGGGAATCAAACTCAGGCTGCAGTAGTGAGTGCCAAATCCTGACCACTAGACCACCAGGGATGAGTAGTGACCACCAGGGAGGAGTGGTGACCACCAGGAAGGAGTGGTGACCACCAGTGTAGAGTGGCCACCACCAGAATGACCTGCTGCTGGCATCAACCAAGCCCTGAAGGGACAGGGGCATTTGCTCCCCACAGTTGAAGGAGAGGACCAGAGGGGATGGATGCCATAGCCTTTCTGGGGGAATTGGCAGGGATGCCTGTGGCATTGGGAAGCCCCTCTGTGCAAGGAAACCCCACCTGTGTAGGCCAGGGAAGCAGGACATGGTAGTGCTGTGATCCTGACCACCACTGAAGGCAGATTTGGGGAAGGCAGTGACAGCAAATGGTTCAGGAAAAGGTGTAGCATCCTCTGGGGGTTCACTAGGGAGGTTTTCCTCCTTCTGCTGGACCATGGTCCCTTTAGGGCTGCTGTGCACTGCCAGGCTCGTGTGGCACATACCACACTGGGCACATTGTCATGAACACAACAATACTGACCCCCAGTGACCAGCCAGAGCTTCCCCAGAGTCACCTGGGGACAAGAACAAAAGTGCAGGTACAGGCTGACTGTCAGCAGAGCCTTTCCTGGGCAAGGGAAATGATCTGAGCCCTGGTGCTGGGCAGGGAGTGTGTCTGGAGTCCCCATTCCTGTAGTTTTACAGTAACCTGGTCATCTTGTTTGTCTATGACAAAATGGCTGGTTGGGGCCAGTTTTTGGAACCTAACCTGGAGCTGTGAAGAGCAGGTAAGCAGTAGGTGATTTTTCTTTATAGAGAGTCCTTAGGGGGAGTAGAGAATTCTGTCTTCCTTGGTTTGCCCCACAGAAGAGGAACAAAAAGTAGCTTCCTGATGAACAGGGAGATGGAGAGGGGCTGGAAATGGTCCCCCCACTCCCCAGGGATTTGGTACCAGCATGGGCAGCAAGAACAGGCATTGCAGAGCCCTGGACCCCTGCCCAGGACAAAAAGCACAAGGGAGAGCCCAGGGCTCAGGGGACAGTGTAAGTGTCACCTGTGCCTGCAGCTCCCAGCACAGCAGGGCTCAGATCCGAGGGGAAGGAGCATTGACACAGAGGATGGAGCTCCTGGGCTGCGTGCAGGGAGGAGACCCCAAAGAGGAGCAGGGGGATGTCTCCAGGGCCCCTCAGCAGGAGGATGAGCCATGGCTGAGGTGGGGCGAGTGGAAGGGCTCCAGGAGAACGCTGCCCGTGCAGGACAGCAGAGGGCCCAGTGCTCCTTGGATGCTCGCCTGTGGCTGGGAGGGGAAGTAAAAGGACAGAGAGAAAACCTCTCCGGTTTTCAGGGATCGATGCACACAGATTGCTGAAACCTCCGTGTGCTTTGCCTTGTCCCTTGAAGCTTCCAAAAAATGGTCAGTGCAGCTCCTGTCTCCATCTGAGGCCAAATCCCACCAGGGTCCCCCCCGCAGCCCTTCCATGACCTGGTCAGGTGTCCCAGTGGGACTTTGGGCATTCCCCACCCCCGGCTCCCCCCCACCGTGGTGCCATGATCTCTTTCCAGGTTTCTCTGCAGTGCCTGATGGATCCCAGCTGCCAGATTTGCCAACACCTTTCCTTGGGGAGCTGCCCTGCAAGGACAAGGACAAGGACAAGGACAAGGACAAGGACAAGGACAAGGACAACGGAGACAACTCTGGGGAATGTGGAGTAGGCCTGGAAAAAGGATGGAGCCACGACAAATGACCTGGCATCCTTCCAAACCGCTGGCATTTCTGCTGTGAGGGCCAGGGCTGCAGAATGCACCTTCAGAAAACCCTGCACAGGGCAAAGCCCCTGAGTGAGGGGCAAGGCTGGGCTGTGTGATGATCCTACAGGATTGTGCCAGCCCTTGGACATGTCTGGAGCAGGGAAGGGGAGGTTTCCTCACTGGGGAGAAGCCAGAGCACTGTCAGAGCAATAATCAGATGTCATGGTTTCGGTTGCCTTTACCAGCCACGACAGAGCATGAGCTCTGGCTGCCTTGCGGTTGGGGGAGCATCAGTATCTTTCTGTGGTTTCTTAGATCTTGATCTGGCCCTGTCACATATTATGTCACAGGCAGTAACAGTTCCTTCATCTGCAGAAGATCTGCCAGAAGACCTGGGAACACCAAACAGGTTCATTTGGGTGTCCCAAGGCAGGGCAGTGTCCATCTCTGATGGAAGCTGAGCAGCTGCCACTCACCACAGGCAACCAGGAGGTGACACAGCACGGGAGCTGCTTTTTGGAGCCCTTTGTAGGGCCACGTGGCAAAGGCAGGCGAGGGACATAAAAATAGACTTTCTACAGTCACGACTTCTTGGAAAGAGAAATCCCGCCCCAGGATCAGCCTTGGGGCAGTGGGGATGAGGCTCAGCACAAAATGCAGTTGTTGGGCAGAGAAGATGAGAGTGAGACCCACTACCTTCCTTTGCACCCTACATGGATCTGGGGCATAAGCAATGCACACATCAATTAGCCAGACCAACAGACTAATCACAATTCTGGAATGCAAAATGGCAGTAGCAATAAATAATCCATCTCCTCATCTCTGACAGGGAGTTGGCAAATTCCAGCTGAGGTTTTGTCCCTTGCAAAGCCTGAATACCTGCAGCACATTGCTGTGCTGCCCCAAAATGCCACCACCATGTGTCTGTGACAACCCCATGATGTCAGGCACTTGGTTCAGCTCCAGCTCCTGCTCTTTGGGAGTCCTCAGGGTCCTCAGGACACCACCCAGATGCCTCTTGGGAGGATGATTTGGAAAAGCCATGGGCTCCTGCCCACTCCAGCAAGGTCCCTGGCACAGCCCTGGAGACCCACCTGCAGCCCTGGCCCCCTGGGGACATCATGGTGGAGGGGACACTGGGGAGGTTTTGAGTGCCCCCACAGGCACAGGAGGCCAGTGGGGGAGAAGGAGAGTGGCAGCAGAGCAGCCCCTCTCTGCAGCCCTGTCACAGCACTGGGGCCAAGGTGTGTGAGGAAATCTGGGAAACACGAGCTCATGGTGCCTTGTGAGCACAGCTGGGCTGGAAAACACCCAGAGGAGCCACAGGCTGTGAGCTGGCAAAATGAGGGCCTGTCACAAAGAAGAGAGAGGTGGAAAAAGAGGAAATGCTCCCTGGCACATCCTGGGGAACCCATCACTGCAAGGGCAGTGCCAGAGGCCTCTGTGCAGACCATACCATGGCCCCTGGGTGGACACCAGGGACTGGGATCTCTTGGTCCATCTCAGCTCCCTGCACTGGGGAAGTTCCTGCTCTGCCCTCTGTATCCCACCTTGTACCAAACCCACTGGCACTTGGAGAAGATGCTCTTTGTATAGTCAGCCCATCCAGGCTGATTCCCAGTCAAGCCCTGCCCTTACTGGGGGTGTTGGGAGGGATTTGGAGGGCACAGCCCCACACTGGAAGCACAGCACTGAGAATTTTGTGCTTGATGGTGCCAAGGCTGCCAGCATGGACCTCCAGCCAGTCTCCAGGCTGTGTTCCTGCTGGCTGTGCTGCCCTCACTGACCCCCTGTATCCACCCTGGACATTTCCCAGACCCACCACTGGAGAAGGAACCCCTTGGCTGGACCTGCACCTTCCATTTGGGGGTCTGAGCACCCCTGACCCCCAGACCTGGTTCCTTGAAGACAAGACTGAGCTGGGTCCTCCTGGTGCTTTGGTAGGGATGCTGAGGTGACTTTGATAAGCAGAATTGTTTTGGATGATGTAAATGTGTAGCTGCTGCTCAAGGATGGTTTCATATCCTGTCTTGGTCGGTGGTGACTGATTTGCTCACACTTACCTCCCTTCACACAAAGGCTATTCTGCTACTTCATCAACCAACTGTTTCCTTTTTTCTTTTTCAGTATTTCTGAGGCAAAGGTGCAATGACATTAGTTCTATTACGTTTTGGAAATTCTACATTTGCCTTCAAACCTGACTGACTGGCCGCTGTTCCTATAAAAAGCAAGGACTGAGCCAGCACCTCACAAAAGGCACAGGAGGAAACTGCTCTGGTCCTGCCTCTGCCCTTGCAGCTTATCTCTGTCCAGAATGAACACCTCCACACTCTGCCTCCCCATCATCCTGTTTGCTGCCCTCTTTTTTCAGGCCCTTCCCTCTCCATGTGAATACAGCACCCCTCTGCTCTCCTGGGATGGACTTTTGCTCTGACTGCCTGTAATTTGGAGCATAACTGGCAAAAGTCAGCTGCAAGTGTTGGAAACCTGTTTGAATAACTTCTCCAGGTTTATTTGGGCTGGTCTTCCTTTCTAACATCCTTTTATCTATAGGGATGAATTTTACTGGTATCAAAGTTTTCAGGTTTCCTGTCCCCTGATTTTCTTGCTGGCCTTTAGGAGTGGACCCAGGGTAATGACAGGGATTTTTACCCTGGGATGTGAGTGTAAAACATTTAGCAAACAATCCTAGCAATGTTGTTTATCAAGCTTCTGTGTTCACAGCAATTTCTTCCTGATTTTTCAGGGAAAATAGGAGGAGGAAAAGCAGTCCAGCTGATTGAGGAGGTGGTTGCCTGTGCTCTCAGCTGGGAATGTACAATTTATTGAGTGATGGTTTCAGGCTGGATTTCCTGATCTCTTCCAGTGGGGTCTGGCACAACTTTGTGCTGCTTCAGCTACACCTCCCAAAAGCTGCCTCAGAGTCGTGTGCAAGAGTATTTCTACACAGCAGCAAGTGCTCCCAACCAGCAGTTGTGTAAGTACCAGCTTTGGGCCCTGAGGGGAGGCTTTGCCAGCCTTTGGGCTCCTGGCTTCACATCCAACAGGGCCAGGAGCAGGATGCTGTGAGGCATCATCCCTGGGGGAAGGGAGCAGCCACCCAGGTTCCATGTGCAGTGTGTGAGCCCTCACCCTCCTCAGCTGAGAAATAAGTGGTCCCTTGGTCTCCTTGGACTGTCCTGGTGCTGGGAATAAGGCATAGGAAGGAAGTCAGGAGCCAGCAGGACCTTCCAGAGCTTGATGAGCCCAATCCACACATTTCACACTGCATCCAGGTTCACCTCTGCATTGGACAAGGAGATGAATATCTGAG